ACTTCTCAAAAATAGACTTAAGATCTGGGTATCACCAGTTACGGATTTTGGAGAATGACATTCCCAAAACCACATTCATAACTCGTTATGGTCATTATGAGTTCGTAGTAATGCCATTCGGATTGACGAATGTACCTGTTGTGTTCATGGATCAAATGAACAGAGTGTGTCGTCCATTTCTGGACAAATTCGTCATAGTCTTCATCGACGACATCCTTATCTACTCAAGAAGTGAAGAGGAACATGGCCAACATCTTCGTCAAGTTTTGCAAACTCTTAGAACAAAGAAACTCTATGCGAAGTTTTCAAAGTGTGAATTTTGGATCAGGAAGGTTGAATTCCTAGGTCACGTGGTCAGTTCTGAAGGAATACATGTCGACCCTTCCAAAATTAAGGCAATTAAAAACTGGTCAGCACCCAAAACACCTACAGAAATACGTAAATTCTTAGGTCTTGCTGGTTATTATCGCAGGTTCATCCAGAATTTCTCTCGAATAGCTAAACCTCTTACCAACCTGACGCAAAAGGGTGTAACTTTTAGCTGGGGAGAAAAACAAGAAACAGAGTTCCAAACGCTGAAACGAGCGTTGTGTAGTGCACCAATCCTGTCTCTTCCTGAAGGGACAGAGGATTTCGTAGTGTACTGTGATGCTTCTAATCAAGGGCTTGGATGTGTTTTTATGCAGAGAGGAAATGTTATATCCTATGCCTCAAGACAGCTAAAGACACATGAAGTCAACTATACAACACATGACCTTGAACTAGGAGCAGTAGTATTTGCTCTGAAGATCTGGAGACATTACTTATATGGCACGAAATGCACAATATTCACGGACCATAAAAGTCTCCAGAATATCTTCAATCAGAAAGAGCTGAACATGAGACAACGATGATGGGTGGAGCTACTGAACGACTACGATTGTGAGATACTTTATCACCCTGGTAAAGCTAACGTAGTAGCTGACGCCCTTAGCAGAAAAGAATACTCGGGACGCCGAGTAAAGTCGTTAACCATGACAATCCATTCACATCTGTCCACACTGATCAGAGAGGCTCAACTTGAAGCCTGAAAAACCTGAAAACGTGGCAGGTGACGCCTTGAGAGGAATGGATAAAAACTTCAAAGTCAGGGATGATGGAGTCTATTGTTTCGTGAACCGGATCTGGACACCAAATTTCGGTGGTTACAGAGACGTAGTCATGAATGAAGCACACAAAACCCGATACTCCATTCATCCAGGTTCAGACAAGATGTATTTGAACCTCAAGAAACTGTACTGGTGGCCAAACATGAAGGCCGAAATTGCTACCTTTTTGGGCAAGTGCCTTACTTGTGCCAAAGTAAAGGTTGAATACCAGACACCTTCAGGTTTATTGCAACAACCTGAAATACCTGAATGGAAGTGGGAGCGGATTACAATGGCTTTCATAACCAAGTTACCCAAGACATCGGGTGGTTATGATACTATTTGGGTAATCGTCGAACTTGAAAAAGTGTCTGTCCGACGAGACTCTTGTTATCAAACAAAGGACAACTAAGGTCCTTTTTATTGTTTGGGTTTTTATTTAGGTTATGATAATAACCTATATTTGTTAAAATCCTTAAAATATCCATAGTTGAATTTAGAAGGAAAGGGCTTAAAACCGAGAAACTTCGCATATTATTCATTTGCTTCGGACCGCAAACTCTTCGGGTCGCAAAGAGTTTACGGCCATACACTACTCGGACCGTAAACTCCTCGCAGCCGTAAACGAGGCTTCGGCCGTAAACTACTTGCCGACTTCGGACCGTAAACCCCTAGGCCGTAAACCCTCGCACAGGTATATAGATTTCCTTCATTTTTCACCATTTCTCACACTTTCAACCCAAGAAACTCGATTTTCTCTCAACTATCATCAAGATTTACACCTTGATCTTCAAATAAGTAAGTGTTTCTCCTATTTTATTAGTTGATACCTTGCTTAATCTAGTGAAACCCTATGATTTCATCCATGAAATCTTCTCTTTTGCTTAGATCTTCAAGAACACCAAGAACATACACTAGTTCTTTAGACCGTGAACACCTCATTCAAGCTTCAAAACGTAAGTATCCTTCCGTATACTAGTTATTCTAAAGAAGCTCATAACATACACCCTTGAAAACAACCATTTCCCAAGAACATAAGAGTTTACGGCCATGAGCATCTCCCTTGGCCGTAAACTCAAGATCTTCTTAGGCTGTGAACATCATTGGTCGTAAACTCCATGGCCGTGAACCCCTTGTGTGGCCGTAAACCCCTTTAGAACAATCACATGTGATTGTAACACTTAAATTCAAGTGTTTCCTATTCCCTAAAGTGGTTACCTATCATAATTAGTTGTTATATACTCTAATTATATCCATATATGTATCATTATATGTTTAATAGGATCCGTTCTGTTCAAGACTTCACTTGACACTTAGCATCCTACACCAATCTTACATTTGAATAACTTACAACAGGTGAGTTCATACCCCCGTATTTTCATAGGTTTTTACTGTTTTAAGGGGGGGGGATACAAGTCTAACACAAAGATTTTGTGTTATAAACAAATGGTTTCAATATTTTATCAAAATGGATTTCAGTTATCACAAATCAAATTATTTTCAATGTTTGTTTCAAAATGACATCAAGTCACCAAAATGAATTTCAAAATATCAAACTTCTTTTAAATGTTTTTATAAACTTAGATTTCTCCCAAAAATCATACTAGTATACATATATTTATATAAATAAGATTTAAAGGGCTTAGGACTGATAACCCACTTTGGTTCCTTTTCCTTGTTTGGATGTGGGATTATAAGCATCAATTATTTGTCCGAGTGTCATTTAACTTTTACTTATAT